AAGTTATGAATGGCCGGTAACTTAAAAATTTAGTAGCCAAATTGGCTGGTGAGTGAAAAAATTACTTTCAATCCCTGAACCCGATGATATCAAACCTGAATATGCAAAACAATTGACAGCGTTTCTGATTGGCTGTAAAACGCAGGACTGTCACATGTGATTTATTGCAAAGTCCGATTCATTTCCGCGAACCGGTACTTTTCTGACAGATCGGCTCATTGAACCGTTCAAAAAGCCGATTAATCGGTTCCTGACGTCATCAAGCAATAACAGGCTTGTTTGAGATGAGCAAAATCTGCGCAGAACCGATCACCGGTGATCACCGCGAGATGCATGCCGGTTAGAAAAGTGTCCGACTTACCTCCGACTTGCTCTGATGTCATGCTGACATGTGCAAAAAAGCTCTGGCGACGGCGAGGCGAGGCGGCTGTGTCGGATTGTGCAGTCGAGCGCAGTTGCTCTCCACCGACTGCGCTGATCAAAAGCATGATGGGAAACGACTGACTGACGTCACAGCTTAATGCTCATTGGTTCAGACACCTGTGACGCTGCGGTTCTCAATTGCGAGATATAAACTCGCAATTGCGAGAAAAAAGTGAGAATTGCAAGTTTTTATCTCGCAATTGTGACTTTATATCTAGCAACTGTGACTTTATATCTCGCAATTCTGACTTTATATCTCGCAATTGCGAGTTCATATCTCACAATTCTGTGAAAAAAAGTCAGAATTGTGAGATAAGTCGCAATTACCTTTTTTTTTATTCAGTGGCGAAACGGGCTTCCATACCTTATGCTATGGAGGCTCTCTTTTTTTTTGTTTGTTTTTTTGATTCCTGTGATTTTGATTTTTTTAGTGTTTGCTAAACCTTCTGTAATTTATTAGTCATTATATAGCCTAATACAGCGTGTAGGCCATGCCTCATCTTTATCGTTTTTGTTAATAATTTTGTAAGCTAGTTTGTCATTGAATACTGTTTTATTGTTGTTGTGCATTTTAATTAAAAATAATGAATCCAT